CCAGGATACTCAACAAACTTACAATGCGTATTTCTTATGCTATCGTCGCGATTCATGAATAGACTGTGCACTAACGAAACCATTTCCATCCAGTACTTTCACAAATTCACTGCAGGACGCTGGACATTGTGTTATACTTGAATTAGGATAGCACTGCAGTGAATTTGTCTTTTGTCAGTCAAAGGCCTTTTCTGTATATCGTACCAATCATTAGAGTAGAAATTTGCAGTCCTTCCGGTACACAGATAACTAGAGTAGTACAGTTAATGAACCATCCCCAAATCTGCAAAATCTGTCAAAACATTCGTCTCAGAACTCTTCCACAGTGGGTGGCCTTAATCCCATTTCTGTTAACTATAGCAAGTGTAAATAAAATTAAAACACTCTAAATGGCATGCCCAAGTCAAGACATTCGTTCATTCCTATTGCCACATAACCCCCTGTTGAATTATTCTTTACCGAAACCCAGTTCTACCCTCCTTTGCCTTTATATATGACATCGGCCCCGGCTATGCGTTTGTCAAGCTGCTGCTCTGTGCCGCTGTCTGTCCAAGTTTGTGTAGGCAGCTAAGGTAATTAAGAAGCTAGCACAGAACTTATTTTCCGGTCTAGAAGTTGCATGGCTCGCTAATTTGTCCTTTTAGTTACTCTAATGCTACCCAAATGTTAGAGTTTGATGGGTGAGTGCGACAATGATTTTCTGTTTTCACTTAGTTTCATAAGTTTACTTTTTTAGTTTCATCCTATGCTCTGACTCGTGTATGCTGTGTCTGTTGAATAAATAAAGCACCCCGATGTGCGTATGAATGAATAGATAAAGGCTACTGCGTGACGAAGGCGCAGAAGCGGAATTAGTTGAGCGGGCGCGAACGCGCGCGCGAACCTCACCGTTGTAATTCCTGCGCCTCGTGCGCTCTGTTGCTAATAAAGCACCCAAAGATATCGCGCCTTCGTCATGCAGCATATAAATAAATTGAATGCGCAAACTTCTTACTTAGCAGCAGGCGTTCAAAAAAAAACAGCAGACAGAGCCGACGCAACAATTTTCAAAGCAACTAGTTGCCTACAGATAGTTCCGCTTATTCAAACTGCGCATAGCAGGATATGCTTTCCGGTTATGTGGACAAATAGTGAACTTTAGAGATTATCCTCTCTGCTAATTCTTTGTACAAAACATGTTGACTCAAAAGCAAAAAAAGGTCTACAGAAGACCTTTGCATGCCACCTGTCATTTCCTACACTTCCCTGACATTATTTGCTCTTTGCTTCACAATTCTCTTATTCTTTCACTCCTTCTCCTGAAAGTCGCATCACTTACATTCACTACAGATTGAACGAACTACTACTTGTAAAAAGCAATTTAGTAAAGTGAAGAATATGATCGAAGTGAGACGAGGAAGTATGACGATTATTTTCGTCAAAAACGTGACGAGGACGCGCACAATAACTTTAGAAATGATTATTGCACGTATCTCAAATGACCAAAATTCAAGTCTGCTCATCCACATTACTCCAACCGTCACACACTTTGAGTTTTTCCATCAGGTAGACAAATGCACAACCAGTTTCGTCAATAAACCTTAGAGTTTTCTGATATGCAGTTTTTTCTTCGATATATGCCACTCATCTCGATAGTATTCTGTACAAGCCAGTGGCGGACCGAGGGGGGGGAGGCGCCCCCCCCCCCCGAGAATGGGTCGCGAAATTTTAGAAACTTACCTATATGGGTTATAAAAACGTGCAAACGACTTGTTTATTTTTGTAAACAATTGAAATAATTTTTTTAAAAATTTTTAAAAATTCAAATTAGCTTTATAAAAAAAATTTCTTTCGGGGGCGTGGCTAACGCCACGCATCTTCATTTGAAAAAAAATTTTGTCGCCCCCCCCCGGTCCGAAATCCTGGGACCGCCGCTGGTACAAGCGTACTGAACTACAGTGTAGTATTTATTTTTGTTTGAAAAAGTTAAGTCATGTTCATATGTTCTTTATAATAGTTTTTTTGCTTTCTAGAGTATGCATCGCATAGATAGAAGCGGTAGAAGAAACTTACTCAACCTTAGACTCATCTGCGTTTGATCTCGAAAAATCTGAAACTTACAGTAAAAGTCGGAGCAGTTGGTATAAAAGGCTATAAAAAGTTATTATTTTTGTGAAAAGAAAGCGATAATAAATGATATGATGTTTTGTTTATTTTTATAGAGACCTTCAGTCGGCACAAACTTTGCCCATTTAGGGCCGCATTCATTGGTATCCCGTTGGGGTGTGGGAACAGCTTAGAAGAACGTCGTATTCTGAAGCCTAAACGACTGGATTTCTCGCTGTCTACCCCCGCAGGTGTTTCTATTACCTTTCACTATAGACATATTACACAGAAGCAAAAATTTCAAGCCGAATTTTCCAGCATTTGCATTAACCCCCAATGACCCCCTGCGGCCGACCCTCTTTTCTTTGAAGTCATTTTTCTTTCTTAGAAGTTAATAAAATCATTCTATAATTGTGCTAATCACCTAGCCCAACAGTAAACGTGTTTCTGACAAGAACTGAGTTACCGAAATATTGCGATTTTTGATAAACCTATCGATCTTCGTTCATCGCAAATTTCTTGTCTTCAACGTCACTTCTTACCAGAAACATGCTAAGCACTGTTCGTTTAGATAATCAGTGAAACTATGGCACGTTTTCATTGGCTTTGAGGAAAGAAAGATGATTTTAAAGAAAAGACGGTTTGCCGCTAGGGAACATCAGATCATAAGAATTCTAAAAAATGCAGCTTATACGATTCCTCTCTCCTTCAATGTGTTTACAATGAAGGGGAGTAGACACATTGCGATGGGTATAATGTGAGAAATCAGATGCCCAGAGCTTCAAAATATGAAGCTTTCTTCTAACAAGGAAAAGATACCAACATTACCAAGATACCACATACCAATACCAACACAAACGCAACTGAAGATGAGATGTATATCATTGGATGCGCCTTTGAAAGCTGATTCCAAATCTGCTTCCCTTTTTGCGGAATAAGTTTCCAAAAGAAGTTATGAGCGTTTGAATGTTTAGATTTACCAAGCACTGAGTAGCTTAAAATCAGCGAAAAGCTCTAAAACTACACCTATGCAATTTTCACCGGCTTTGTTCCTACCTTGCAAACAATATTCTTAATACAAAAATGATTGTCCACTTTCCGGTGTTTTTGTACAGCTTTTTGCCAATTTTAGGCCACCTAAACCTTGACAATTTGGACCTTTGAACCCCACAACTTTTTTCGGAAACTTATTCGCAAAAAAGAAAAGCAGATTTGGAATCAGCGTACAAAGGTGCGTACGTATACTTATATACAATAATGCATTTTCAATCGTCGTCTAATGTTGGTATCATTCCCTTAGAAGTATTTGCGCATGATCACGCATCTCATCTGCTGCAAACGGGAATTCCAAAAAATAGCTCACTACTCCTACGCCTACGGTTTGCCTTGATCCCGATGGAAGCAGACTGCAGAACAGCTGGAGTTTTCTTTGGACACCGAATATTTGAACGAATGGTCTTTGATTTTCGAATATTAGAATACGCACTTCTTCTACGCCCTCGGATATTAGAATATTCGAATGACTGTTTCCATAATGTTTCTCATATTCCAATAATCGAATAAGTTATTTTTCCGAACCGTCGAATGAACGAATATTCGAATAAAGGCCTTTTACATGTCTTCGACTATTTGAATATATCGAATAAATGCGACTCCCCAGGTCAAGTGCGTCTCACCCCGGTTTGTCCTTTGTAATGACTAGCGTAAAAATTCTTATACTGAAGATATTAACGGCATAAAGTGCCCTAATAATAATAATAATGGCCCCATTTGACCCCGCAGACTGCAATTTTGAATGATCTTATTGTAGACGTGCGTTCAAATTTTAACTAAAAAAATTCCCGTAACTCCTTTCTCAGCGGGCTTTGCAGATACCGAAAGCAAGTTTGGAATCTTTAAAGCTTTTCTGTCTTATAGAGCATCCTTCCGTGCTTCATAAGACATTTTACATTTCATATGGAAACGCCACAATGATGTAAGTACCGCCCTGTTGGTGCCATGCAGAAATGGACCTCGTCGGACGCGCTTTCGCGCGACCAGAACGTTTGACCAGAAGTAAGCTATACGGCTGAGATGTTGGGAAACCTACACCTTGAGCGAAAGTTTGCTATGGATTTTCTGATCGGCAGAGTACGCATGCCGCTACAGTAAAAGTCGTGGGGCCTTGCAGATCTTTTCGATTCAGGATTGACATCAAGCTCCGCCGTTTAAGATATTTAAAGAAATTGAATTTCTGGGAAACGCCCGCCATCGCCTTTCTAGAGCTTTCTAACGTGGACTTCGGGGTTCAGCGTCGCGGATGACCCAAATCAGTTTTTTCTAGTAATTAAGTTTTTGCCCGGATGAGTAAACACCTAAACAACGAGCGTACATTACACTCAAAAACTGTCTAAAACAGAACGTATAAGGAGTGTGGTGTTCCGTATTTCTACGAGTGCCATCTGCTACGTTTTTGGGAAAGCAACTAACATATGTAATGATATAAGAGAAGACGTCACAACTCAATAAATGTAGCGGCTTTCGAATCTCAGTGTTAGTGAAACGCCTCTCGTACAGAGGGTGCTGGTAGGTATGGTATGAAGAAGCTACAGCTGCTTTCGAAATCAGTAAATAACATGTTGCTCGACCTCAATTTGGCTGCATGCCAAAATGCTTGCAGTATACTGAACCTTAGACTCGCATCGCGGAGTTACAATATTCAATAATCAGTTGCTTTTCAACTGGTCATAGCTGACATGCACATTGGCAATCATGCACTTCAGTTCAAAAGGTTTTCTTTTTTTGCAGAAAGAATGGATAGCAATTAACAATTGGCATGCTTGTTTACAATATCTTTATTTCTTGTCAATTAGCACAACTAAACAATAGAGAAACGACATTCACATCAGAGGAATTTTGTACATTTATTAAATCCTAGAGAGGGTAAGATTCATACAAGAAAGATTGTTATAAACAACATGATAACTGCATGTACAATTGTCACCCGAATCGTGTTGAGACCGCCGTTCATCGCACGTTCCCAGTCGGAAACATTTCCATGGATTTGCAATTTGCCACAGTCAACCACATTCGTCGTATCGGCTTCGACGACGATAACGACCTTGAGAATGAAATTAAATTTAGCGTTGCAACAGTATTTATGTTTTGCATTATTCTGTATCATAATGAACATGATTTGACATGACAAAATAACACCAGAGATTTCAATTTGCTGATCTCAAGAAACACAGAGGGATGATCAGGAGTTGTAAACACACAAATTCTTGAAGTTTTGTAAAATGCCAAAAAGTATCTTACTTTGTCAATCACTGCATCATCGAGAATATGAAAGTCGATTTCTGTCCAAGGCTGAAAACAGATTTTGTGGCTTTCTCAATTAGATATATCCGCATCAAAATTCTCTCAACCTGGATAGCCATCCCTCGATTATCACTATCAACTGTGATAAGCTTCTTGCCCTTGTGCTCGTTTAGCAAACCAGATTTATAGCAAGAAGACAATTCGATGTCCGGAACATAGATCAGATGGTAGTTCTGGATAGAAATAGAGAATTGATATGAAGAAGGATTTGATGGATTTACCTTATTCTCTTGCAAACCCGTCATTATAGCGAGAAGCTTAGGGTTGCTTCCCTTCTGCTGAGCCAGTTCGAGAATTCCTTCGCCGCCACGGAATCCAGTCAAACGAGCTTCAAGTCGTCCACCATCTGCAAAACATAATTTAGTTCCATAGTGTTGTGTAGTGCTAATGCACGTGATCTAAGCCGAGTTCATATTTTCAAAATTGACGCCACCGAGTTCATATTGAAAAACTAATTTTCAGAACTGACTACCGATGTACTTGTGTCATCGACAGCGTTTCATTGTCAAGCTATACAATGAACCAATCACGCAGTCTCGGTGCACAGACGATTATAATTGCCCGGGGAACGGAACTTACCTACCCGAGATATTCTCGCACCTCATGGGTGTGTATCTGCGGGGTATAATCAAGCATAGCGAGTCGCTGATTCCAGATGCTCCTTAGGATACAGCGCTAAGCTAAGCCCCGCCCATACATAGCACCTTTTTGGCATGGAACCAAGACATTTATAAATATATCAATTATATAGATAAAATATTTGAATCACAAAAACATGTGCAGCGTCCTGTACATATTGATCGTTTATGGACTAGCTCATCTTCATTTCTTTTATCATTAAGGTTACATCCTTAGGGCATGCGGTTCTCACAGAAAAATGGGTCATTCTTCTAGCATTCCGAGAGGAACAGTGAAAAAGCAGTTTTACATGCGTCCTGAGGCATGCTTTATTTTTTGTGGAAATTTCTTAAGCTAAAAGTCGATCCATCAAAGCAAAATTTCGGCTCTGTAAGAAAAGACAGCGCAAAATCAATAGCACATTTGAAAGGAGCGCCTCCGAAAACCCCTAAATCTGTATTTTCATTGAGATTGAGCAGATATTGTTGCTGCGACTTTGTGATTCTGTTGAATTCCCGGTTTCATCGCAAAACAGTCGATGAATGGGGGCGGAGCTTAGAATACACACAGACTAGGCTCTGTACACTATGCTAATTGCGTATCTGACTGCTCGTAATACCTTAGGTACGCTGCGGCAAGTCTTTCGGGTAGGTAAGTTCCCGCACCCTAATTGCCCAGGGACCGTCTAGTAGTCGCGGGACTAAGGGGTGAAGGGGAGGAGGGGTAGAGGGGGAGGGGGAGGGGAAGGGGTAATGGAAATCATTTTTCAAGTGCAATGGTCATGTTCATTATTTGGATTCAGCGTTTACTCATTGAGTCTACTAGAACCTTATGGATTCTTTTGGTGCATTTATGTGCAATGAATAGTGTACAAATAGATTGAGTTGCAAATATGCATGCGATAAAGGTTTTGGCACGTCGGACCGTCTCAGAGATTTTTCGCTCATGATTATCAATTACACAACTTTTTTTTCGCGCATAGTCGTGAGATACCGAATAATCTAACTGTCAGCATGTCAGCAATTTCAAATCGAAAGCTTTGAAGGCTGCGCACACTGATCCATAGGTTTACAGTTTCAGCACAGCGCTCGAATGTGCGCTGTGCTGGAACTGTACTCGAACATGCGGATCAGTATGAACCAACCTAAGGCATATCAAGTCTCTCACGACAACATTTCTATGCAATTCATATGATTACAAGTGCATAGGACAATTCTGGCAACAACTTTGAGAGATACCCAGATGTTTCCCACTTTTGAGGTTGTCTACAGCAAACATTTGTCTCATGTATGGTAATTAGCACGAAAAGTTTGGAAGATTATTGACGGATTCCGCCCGCAGTGTTTCATGAGCTCTGTGTAACTTTAGTTTCTGTTTGTAGAAACCGCATGGTTACTGTTTTGTTTTGTGCAATATCATAGAAGGTAATTCGAAAATTTTTAGAGTGGTTTGCATAAGTTATAAAAGTGCCCAAATGACTTGTGCTATGAAACTTGTTGAAATCTATAGTCTAAAGGAGTTTTGTGGGATTGCCACGTTTCCTTTCCTCAAGATTTTGTATAGCTCAAGGCCATTAGAAAATTCGAAAACAACATCATAAAATTTGTTCAGAGTTCTTTAGAAAACTCTACTCTTTAAACTAAAAACGCGGGTATATTACATTAGATAGTTAAGCGTATTTAGTGTTCAAATCTTTTCGTTAGCTAATTCTCAATGTATTCAATAAAGAATTGTTTCCAGTATTTGCAATCCAGAGTTTGGTGCACATTTCAAAGATCGTGGTCTCAATAATGTGAATGTATTGCACGTTTCTCTTGTTAAGAAAGACGTAATCACCTTTTAAAGGAGGATCCACACAAGTATTTCTAAAATAATTCACTGTGAATGTAGTGTGTGCGTCATTCTCAACGAACAAATCCGGTCTCGTCAACTGGTCTTGATCCGAAATCACACATTGCTCTTCACCAGGAATGTGCATTGCAGATTTGCAAGGTGATCCGCGTATAATGGCAGAAAGGCATAGCCTCAGACACTCATCTTTGAACTGAAACACAGCCAAGAGTGGAATCTAATCTCGAAGGCTGATGAAAGATAGATATTGCCTTAGTGGGAAGAAACAAGGCAGGAAGGACGGAGTGAATGAGGGAGAGAGAGGAGAATGAATAAAGTAGATTGATTAGAAATGAGTTTCGCAATCGAATGTAAAAACACAGGTACTGTGAAGGAAAGTTGCAACGATTTTTGAAGACAGTTCATTAAGTGGGATTTTTCCCCTTTTTTTCCTTGTAAAAAGTCATTGAAGATTTTCTCGTTTCAAACTTCGAAAATGTTACCTACAATTTGCAGCTAATTTTGTGTGGCGCTGAAGTTAATTTTTATCGAAGCCGTTTCGCTGTTGACCGTAATTTGGCTAAGGAATGTGGGCGCGAACACATTCCAAAGTGAGACAAATGTAATCAAGCAAACGCTCGCTAGAATCGTAAACCCGAGCGGCTCTTCTCAAGGGCACAAATGCGTTCCTTAAATTCCATATTGCTTATAATTGTCATATTTCGTATGCGGAATCGGAATAATGGCGAGATTCAACACTATAAAACTGAGTCTTTCACGACAATTTTTGTTCCCTTTGTTTCTTTTTCAGAACTTTTCTGCTCCTTCACTTTGCCTTACCCCTTGCCGTCCTCCTATGGAAGCATAGAAGATAAAAATAACTTATAATCCTTTATCTTCTTCCAAAACGCCCTCTTCCCTTCTTCAGTTCCTCTCTCCGCCCTCCTTCCCCTCCCCCCCCCCGCCTTACTCCGTTGTGCCATTGGAAGTTAAGAGTTCCAATGACAACGCCAATATTACAGTGTTAAAAGCCAATATTACAATGAACGAAGTCTGTAATGATTATTTAATGAGTGGACTACCTCTACCTAAATATTTTCGAAGAAATATCAAGTGCCATGCAATTTTTGAAAGGTTTAAAGGTTCCCCATGTTCAGTTTCTATCTTTGAAGACCTATGATGTTCTCATCTTTTTCCAAGCAAACACCAGTCCTTGAGGAAATTTGTTTTTCTTGAAATGGATAGTTGCTAATCTGGATAAATGCTGTGGAGATGCGAATGACCAAAGGATTGAGAGGCAAAAAAGCAGAATGCGAATTAGGAAAGCTTCTGCGCAGTGGCTTGTGGTTTGATCAACTAGATTTGATTCAAAGGCCGGAAATGTGTCGAATTCCTTTGGAGGGTAAGATTGCGCATGAATAAAAGTTTCGTTCGCGGGAAAATTCAGTTTGTAGATAGAAACGCATTGCTGTCTCACCGATTAAGTTAATGCCGCAAAAGTGCAGGTGAAATCGGTAAATGCATCTTTGCAGCTAAAGCTCCACATTAAAAGAAGAAATTTTATACGCCGCTTGTGAAGACTTTGTCAAATGCGCGATGTTAGATAAAAACATTTTCACCTTCGGTGAAATCTCCGGCTTCTAGTGAAACGGTCTCACTTTAGCGAACCGCTTCAGCAGTTGCAAAACGGATCGAGCATCATAGTGACTGTGCAAACAATAACCACATCACTTCAATAACGAGAGGAAAAACCTAGGTGATGAAGTGTCAAGTAAGCCAACTTATAGGAGCGCAGCATTTTAATCGGGCTGATGTAGATGGAAAGATGCACACGTTTTCATTTTAAAGCAATGAAAACTTTGAGCTCAAGAAGTTCTTAGCTCGAAAAAGTGCAATCTTGTGTATCGCTTGGGCACTTGAAAAAAAAAGATGATAAGATGACCACTATATTATTTTTACGACCGTCGTGGGCGCAGTTCTTTCCCGACCATGGCGACATAATTGCTAACCTGCATACATATATTAGATAACATTTAACATTGACCCATCAAAGTGAATAGCTAGCAGCTGGAAAAAGGTTCATAAAAAATCATAAAATGAAAAATTGAAAGCTGTCAAAAATTTTCACTTAAACAAATGCATTCTAATTTATTTCTTCATTCATCACTAGGCGAGACTGTAATTCTAGCGATATCAAATGCAGCTGTTCTTCATCTCAGCAGTTTTGACGGCTATCCCGAATTCTTCTGCATAACGTTCACAAAGACTGACGCATAGCTTGACTTACAACATCAAGCGATAACAAATACCAAGTATGTACATCCAGAATACTTAACAAACTTAGTAATTGTAATTTCTTGCAGCTATCGCCGCGATTCTTGAATAGACTGCGCAAAAACTATGAAACGGAACTATTTCCAGTACTTTCACAAATTTACTGCAGGAATCGCTGGACATTGTGTCTTTAGAGTTGAACTAGGAGAATACTGCAGTAAATTTGTTTTTTGTCAGACAAAGACCTTTTCTGTATATCATACCAATTGATCAGAATAGAATTACCCAGTCCTTTCAGAACACGATAACTAAATCACAATCGAATACACCATCCCCAAAGACCTCTGTCGACCATTTGTCTCAGAACTTTTCTACAACAGGTGGCCTCCTTATTCCCATTTCAGTTACTTAAAGCAAGTGCAAATAAAAATAAATATGCTCTATATGGCATCCCGAGTTCAGACACCTCATATCTTTTGATCAACTGGCTCGGCTCCAAGAAGGCGGGGCTTTGTGACGTAATTACAACACCGTAACACACCTGCGTTTCTCTCGCGCGAATGCTCTCTGATCATTATCTAGCCTTACTTAGGTCACGAGGTCCCGCCTTCCCGAAGCTAAGCTAGTTGAATCAAATGGTACTTGCATTGCCACATCACCCATCCTGTTGAATCATCTTTTATTGAAACCCAGTTCTACCCTCCCCTGCCTTTAGAGATGGCGGCGGCCCCCTACCAGTGTGCTCGTTTAACCGGCAGCCCCCCGCTATGCGTTTGTCGAGCTTCTGCTTTGTGCCGCTGTTTGTCCAGGTACCCTTTGCTTCTACCAGATGGGCGGTTGGAAGGCGGGGCTCCGTGACCTAATTAAGGCTAAGGAATGATCAGAGAGCATGTTCCGACGAAGGCCAGACTGCGACGCGGACACAAGCACTCGCCTCTTAGGTCATGAAGCCCCGCTTTCCAGCAGCTAATCTGGTTGAAGCAAAGGGTATGTGTGGGTAGCCAAGGTAATCTAGAAGCTAGGCTCAGAACTTATTTTCCAGTCTAGAAGTTACATGACCCGTAATATGTCCTTTTGGCTTACCTTGCTGTTACCCAATTGTTAGAGGTTAATGAGTGAGTGCTACAAAGGTATTCCATTTTCATTTAGTTTTATTTATTCCTTTACCATTCCTACTACTCATTTATGCTGTTTCTGTTGACTAAATGATAGAACCCGATGTGCCTATGAATGAATAGATGAACATTTGAATGCGCAAACTTCTAACCTAGCAGCACGCGTTCAAATAAACAGCAGACAGAGTTGACACAATGATTTTATGAACTCATTTCCCAACCATAAGACGTATTTCGTCAACTTGAATTTTCAAAACAAATAATTTGCCGCAGATAGCCCGTTACTCACCGGTTATGTAGACAAGTGGTGAACTTTGAAGATTATCCTCTCTGCTAATTTTTGTAAAAAAAACATAGTGACTTAAGAGCAAAAGAGAAGTCTACAGAACCTTCGCATGCCACATTCATTTCCTAAACTTCCCTGACTTTCTTTCCTCTTTGCTCCACAATTCTTTTATTCTTTCACTCCACCTCCTGCAAATCGCATCACTTACATTCACCACAGATTGAACGAACTACTCCTTACAAAAAGCAATTTAGTAAAGTGAAGAATATGATCGAAGTGAGACGAGGAAGTATGACGATTATTTTCGTCAAAAACGTGACGAGGACGCGCACAATAACTTAGAAAATGATTATTGCACGTATCTCAAATGACCAAAATTTAAGTCTGCTCATTCACATTACTCCAACCGTCACACACTTTGAGTTTTTCCATCAGGTAGACAAATGCACAACCAGTTTCGCCAATAAACCTTAGAGTTTTCATATGCAGTTTTTTTCTTCGATATATGCCACTCATCTCGATAGTATGTTTCTGTACAAGCCAATGGCGGACCGAGGGGGGGAGCGCCCCCCCCCCCCGAAAATGGGTCGCGAAATTTTATAAACTTACCTGTATGGGTTATAAAAGTGTGCAAACGACTTATTTATTTTTCTAAATAATTAAAATAATTTTTTGAAATTTTCTAAAAATTCAAATTAGCCTTATAAAAAAATTTTTTTCGGGAGCGTGTCTAACGCCACGTACCTTCATTTGAAAAAAAATTTTTGTCCCCTCCCCCCCGGTCCGAAATCCTGGGACCGCCGCTGGTACAAGCGCACTGAACAATAGTAGTTTCCGCAAAGTTTACAGGTATAGTATTTATTTTTATTTGAAAGAGTAAGTCATGTTCTTTATAATAGCTTTTTGCGGTATTAAGCCTGCTCGCATATATAAAAGCAATAGAAAAAAAATACTCTACCTTTGACTCTTCTGTGTTTGATCCCAAAAAATCTGAAACTTGCAGTGAAAGTCGGAGCAGTTTGAAAAGCTATGAAAAATTGTGTTTGTGGAAAGAATGCGAAAAGAAATCGAATATGGTGTTATGTTTATTTTCGTAGAGACGTTTAATTAGCACAACTTGCTCGTTTAGGACCGCATGCTTTGAAGTCTCCCTAGAGTGGGGGCAGCTTAGAAAAAAGCTCCGTATTCTGAAGCCTTGGACGACTGGATTTCTCGCTGTCTACTCCGCAAGTGTTTCTACTACCCTCTACTACAGACATACTGAACAGGAGAAAAAATTCGTTCAAGCCGCACTTTCCAGCTTTTTATAAGACCCCTAATGAACCCGGCGGCCAACCCTCTTTCCTTTAAAGTCATTCTTTCTTCAAAGTTAATAAAACCATTCCATGATTGTGCTCAATTGTCGATAAATCTTGGCATTGTGATTCAAATTGTAAATACAGTTTTTCAAAGCTGTTAACCAAGGTTGGTAGCAAGACTTTATTGTACGAAAAGCCAACGTTTCGGCGGTCCGTCCGCCTTCTTCAGGGCCTCCTGAAAGATCGAGACTTTGAGAACTGTCCGCCCAAACACCGTGTTTGGCAATGGATTTAGTTTGACTATGTGATGGAGTGGCAGAGTAGATGTTGAAAGCCTGACCTCAGCCTTGCCAGATCGGGATGTAAAGACCGAACGACCAGTACTGCGCTGCAGCTGCGCTATGTGAGCATGATAGTTAGTGTCAACAGTGCCCTTTATATGGTCATAGAAGATCCTACTCACTCATAGCGCAGCTGCAGCGCAGTACTGGTCGTTCGGTCTCTACATTCCGATCTGGCAAGGCTGAGGTCAGGCTTTCAACATCTACTCTGCCACTCCATCACATAGTCAAACTAAATCCATTGCCAAACACGGTGTTTGGGCGGGCAGTTCTCAAAATCTCGATCTTTCAGGAAGCCCTGAAGGAGGCGGACGGACCGCCGAAACGTTGGCTTTTCGTACAATAAAGTCTTGCTACCAACCTTGGTTAACAGCTTTGAAAAACTGTATTTACAATTCCATGATTGATTTCCTAGCCCAAGAGTAAACATGGTTCTGACAAGGACTGAATCACTGAAATATTGCGATTTTTTGACAACCTCAGCTTTCGACCTGTGGTTCATCGCAGATTTGAGTTCAATACACCACTTGTTTTTATCAAAAACATGCTTAGCTTTGTTTATGTTCGTTTAATCAGTAAACTTTGGCACTTTTCCGTTAACTATGAAGAAAGAAAAATGATTTTGAAGAAAAAACGGTTGGCCGCTGAGGATCATCAGGAGATCATATAAAAAGCTAGAAAATGCATCCTGTTCAATATGTTCAAAAGGGTAATAAACACATTTGCGGACGGATACACAGTGAGAAATCAGATGCCCAGAGCTTCAGAATATAAAGCTTTCTTCTAGGCTGCGTTCCCCTCCCGAACGGGAAATGTTAATGCATGCGGCACTCAAAGAGAGCAGATGATTGAAGTCATAATACGAATTGCTTCGATTTTTACTGCAAGTTTTAGACTTTCTACGACTAAATGTAGAAAAATCAGATTCTGAGAATTTTCTTCTATCGCTTTCGTTCATGCAGCGCAGGTTCAATAGAAAGTTCCAAGACACTGTATGAGGAGCATGGTTTACTCCTTTAAGCAGAAACAAAAGCATGCAAATGCTTGAAGGTCTTTTGCGTTTTGTGTTGGGTTGGAGCGATAAAAGCAGGACGATAATGTGCAAGAGATACAGAAAGTTATGGAAAAGAGAGCAGAAAAGAAGAAGAAAGAGACCTGGGAAAGCAAAAAAGATATGAGAGATACTGATAAGTAATACAAAGCCATACCTCTACTGATGAAGTGTGAAATGCATATCCGACAAGCCAAAAATTCCGTTTAAAATCAAAGCATTCAAGCAGTCTATAGTTTATGGTTGGATCAGTTGCACCAAATACCGAATACAGTACGGTGAATATCCATACTAATGGTGACATTGTCTTGTTATGCTAGCCAGAGCTCCAGTGTCAGAAGATAAACGCAACGCCGACGTGCATCGGATTCTTCAGTGCAATGGTAGCCGGGGACGATTACGGGCATTGGGCGGTTACACGTCTTCGTTCTGCTACGCCCCCATTAACAACGCGATTAACGGCTATCACCGTTGGCTGTGTGTGTACGTGGCGATGGTGGCGGTAGTGGTGACGGTAACGCCGGTGTTGGAATGTATGTGGAGCGAGCTTGTTTTAAACGTAACCACAAATAGAAAGCACTGAAGTCAGTTGATCATCGTGTGACTGGAATGTGAGGTCAACTCTCTATATCGAGCCGGTTTATTGTGATTGCGTTCGTTCTATAAATTTGGTGTTCGCCTTTTCCTAACGAATCTATTTCCACAAGTCCCTAAAGATCTACATATCTTTCTTGTTTTTGCACTAAATGACCTTCGCTTGCGATCGTGTTCAATCTTATCCAAATCACGTGCATAGGTTCTGGCTCGTGACTCCATTTTCCATCGCTTCCCAGTCTTTTTTACATTGTAGCGGTTGAGAGGACTTCTTACAGCAAATCATTACTCTTCCAGTTTTTTGTGCTCTAGAATTGAAAACGGATAGTAGAACCAAGGACAGGTTAAAACGAACTGACGACATGCTCCTCATGGCGCGAAATTTGAATGCAAGGCTACATATGGCATTGAATTGAAACTAAATCTACCCTAGTACTTCCAACAGCATAATGTAAAAATTTCGGAATTATGTGACCAAGAACCTTCCTCAAATTATTCGTCTTCCAAGATGCCACTTTGTCATGGAGCAATGCTTTTGCTATTTCGCGTGATTTCCGAAACTTTTTATTCCGCACCCTTTGCGCGGTCACTAATTTATCTTCACAATTGAAACCGTTATAAAACATTCACCCCCCCCCCTGCTGGCTTAAAGGCAGTGGCTCGGCAAATCTCAAGTCAAATTTGCGCCTACCTAGGGTTTTTCAATACGCTGATCAAACGGCAAAAATGGGCGTTTTTTAATGCCCTTCCCTTTGATATTGGACGAGTGGAGCAAGGCCGATGACGTTAAATCGTGGCAGGACCCAAAGGTTATAGCGTTGCGGCGGGAAGCCTCCAATGGTGAGAAGGAAATTGCCAACTCGTCCAGATGCGTGTAAGATTGGCCTGCGCGTGTAAGTTCGAGAGCGATTTTCTCGGCAGGGAAAGCATGCTGTGTAACCGGGATTGCACTGTTTTCATAGGGCGATAAGGAACCTACCGTGTTAAAATCCTGAGTTGTTGGATTTTGCCGATCCACTGCCTTTAAGCTCTAAATTTAGAGCAGCGAGGCCCACATTGTTGACTTGAGTATGTCAGTTTCTTCTTGATAAGTCTTTCAAAAATCAATTTTTTCATTCTGCTCTTATCTACGGCTGCTCCCAACTATTGCAGCATATTAGGTGGTTTCTTATGGCCATGGCATTCACTGCCAAGAAATCCTATATCAAGGAGGGAACAGAAATGGAAGCCAATCTCTTTTAAGGGACTTCGTAAAGTTTTCGAAGATTGAGTAGGACTGTGCTTTTGAAAAGGGAGTAAGATGGCTTGTGTCAAGCTCCGAAGTGGAGTAGGCACATTCAAAAAATCGATAAAAGTAAATTTTACCGCAATGCCCATGACACAGCCTTCTGTTAGAATGAAGGATGAAGGAATCTTCAGTAAATTCTGTGGGCATAGGCCCAATGCTATGCGCATAATTCATAGAGAAGAAGCTACTAGGTGAGTATCAGCGATTAATGTAGAGGAAAGCAGAGCGTTTGATTGGCCCAGAGAGATCAGACCTCTAGTTCAGAGGTTATACAGTCGCTTCATTTCATATGATCATGTCAGTTCACCTTTGGCGTCCCCATCCTGGTCGTGGGAGAAACAAGCCTTCAGGTAAGTGTTTCCAAGGTGTTCTTAGCATTTTCTTTCTTTTTTAGTTACTAGTCACCTCAAATTGATGTAATCGATAACAATCGGTAAGTCTCTTGCGTTTTTGAAATTGCAAATCCAGGATGTGGACGCCAAAGTGGACTATGTGTGCAATGGCACACATGATCATATGAAATGAAGTGACTGTAGCTGCAATACATCATCTAATCATCAACCACAATTCCCTTTTTTGTATTATTCAATCGATAGATTTACCTATAGGGCTGAAAAAATTGGAATATAAGTCTTCGCAAACATTCCTAGATGGCCATCAATTATACTTAAAGTTATAGGATTCAGATGTCCCTACCAGTGTCTCAAAGTTACGTTGCCAGATTTTGACTCAAAATTTTGTTGTCGTTCATGATCTACCAGTGGTCAGAACTTGGTCTTAGAAAAGGGTGTTGTTAATTTCTTAAGATAAACCGCTACCGCGCATCCTCCTTGGTAGGTCCTACCTCGCCGATTCTGGTCGTTGCGCGATCTGTCATTGCGACTATGGTTCAAATCCCACTAGCACACTCTACACAAGCAAGACTTGGCGTGTTTTCATAATAACTTACAAAGCTATGCGCCTCTGCATTTGGAACCCACACATGGTAGATATGTAGCTTGGACAATCGCCAGGCGTGGCGACGCCGATTTCACGGAAGTGTCTGAGATATGTCCAACACCTTAGGAGAAGCGCAAGTGGCATCGTGTCAGCCTTTTGAATTCGAAAAGTAATTGTACTACGATCTGAGTACATTATTTGATAATCTCATCTATGTAGCAAAGTGTGGTGCACGGGCAGAATCAGGAAGCAAGATGTGGCACCAGAAATATTAGAAAAATGTTTTCGTTGATTTCGCAGAAGAGTATAACATTTCTGTGAAGTGCATACGAAAGAAAAGCTGTGAGAAAGAGCACCGATCGTCCCTCATCCCTCATCACGTCTCTTTATGAAAAATTTTCAATTATTAGCATTGTTCTGTACTCAATACTTTCATACGTGTACGAGAGCAAGTGCACAAATGAAGGAATCAAAATTGAGTCGATTTTTACGCCCCTCTCAAATGGCTTTTTTACTTTCGATACGTCTTTACCATAACACAGGCGAAGAAAGAATCACGCACAAGGGATTCCTAAAATTAAGGAGTGGGTAAGGTTCGGAAAAAAATGCAATACGTTGAACGCGTTTCAGATGACCGTAAAGAATGTCATCAGTGATTGCAAAAATTCGTGTTGATGCTGATTTGATGTGAGATAAGTCTTGTTACAAGAAAGAATTACGTCAGGTTCGAAAAAACAAGTGAAATTTGGGTTCGTCAAACATTCGTTTGAGTTTCGGAACTACTTTTTTACTAAATCGGTTCGCAAATGGCGCCAAACTGGTAATCATCGAAGGTAAGAAAGCATTACAACGATGTCTACTGCTAAGACGATTTTTTTACTGAGAGTGAAAGATATGCGCGGTCAGGGCGTAAATCATCAAACAAACGATGACGTCTTATTATCGATGACCGAAATAGACAGTAGACGTCTGAAACAAAACTTTTTGATGGAACCGATGCTCAAAGAAGTAGGGTAGGACGTGTAATTGTGAATCACACGCCAGGGCCCGACATATTTTGCGGTGGCATACGTAGGATGTCCCGGGGTAGAAAGTACAGCAGTCATTCTTCAGGGTCATTGCACCGCGAGGGAACTCCCGAGAAAAAAAATTGAATTTTTGTAAACTAAGTTATGTGCAATTCCTCCAAAAAGCTAGTCAACTCTACTTCTTTTGAACAAAGTTTTGTTGGTTCTTCACTCCCCCCCCCCCCCTCCTGCACACAAATAAAACTTTTCCGACTTGACGCGTATTCCATAAATAAATGCACCTCTTCTTCCAAACATTACCTCCACCTCATCATCTTTGTAAATTCCACGTCTCATCGCTGCATTAACAATTTGTTCTCTGAACAACAAACTCAAGCTCCAATATGCTCTTGGTAGATACGGGAATTTAAAATCGTATTTCCTCGAAACAAACAGTGGCCTGCTCACTACGAGCTTGCAAATGACATTATGGGGTGCTTTGTGCTACCGCAATGGGGAGTTTGAATATAATGTGAAATACGAAAAGAACCTTTTGCCAGCGGAGGCAGCTAACAAGGGAATGGTCAGAAGTCGAAGTGGCCAAACCAAACAAGCTGTATACCGTTTGATGCAGTATGAAACGCTGACTTCGAATCTGTCTTTCTTATCTGCTTCCCGCTTCTGTGGACGAAGCTACAAGCCACTAAAGACCATTATTTTGCTGAGAAATTACGCGTGAAATTGAATATTTAGCCGTGCAGAGCCACGTTCGCTTTAATGCTAGGCCAAAACATGCAGCTAGCTTACTTCAAATTTTTAAACAAAGAAGCTGAGCTAAAAGTGCAACAGTGTGCTCAATTTCGCTGTTTTTATGTGTGATTTTTTCACAATAAAACCACTTGTAGCTTCGTCCAAGGAAGCGGGAAGCAGATAAGAAAGACAGATTCAAAATCAGCGTTTTATACTGCATCGAATGGTATACAGCTTGTTTGGTTTGGCCACTTCGACTTCTGACCATTCCCTTGTAAGTGGTGGATAGTTCGTTCTCCTACACGTGGCCGTGCCATAAGGCAGGTTACCTGAGCCGCCGAAAAAAGCAAAAACCTAATTCTTTTTTTTGCACATACTCCTTTGATGTCTTGCAACTATCCCATATATACGCAGTGTCTCCTAACTACTCCTTGAACTCAAACCTCCTATCTCCACTTGTTTACAGTTGCAGCTTCCCAGGGTTCATAATGCACAATCATGTTATAATGCACAGTATTGGCCACAGAGCATGCCGCAGACGTAAACAATACGAACATCATCATTTCTGTGCATCGTGCTCTTTTTAGTGTTTTGGTGTTTTTTCCCATAGCTTCCAGAATTCGCGTGCATTTCACAGAAATGCCACACTCTTCTGAGAAATCAACGGAAACTTTATTTCCAATATTTCTGGTGCCACACCTTGCTTCCTGGTTCTGCCAGTGCGTCAAACTTTGCTATATTGATGAGATTATCAAATATTGTACTCTGAGATCGTAGTAAAATCACTTTTCGAATTTAAAAAAGGCTGACGCGCTACCACTTGCGCTTCTCTTAAGGTATCGACATATCTCAGGCACTTCCGTGAAATCGCCGTTGCCACGCAATCTGGCGATTGTCCGGATGTCTACATATCCACCATGTGTGGGTTCCAAATGCAGAGGTG